AAAAGAAAGAGATATTGTTGGGATAGTCATGAAATATGAATTGGATTAGATAGTACTGTTGGACCAATGCTCATTTTCTAATTTGGAGAGTTAAATGCTGGCTATATAAGATTACCTTGTTTCTGAGATATAGGCACTGTAGAGATTATGGATGATGGAATGAACATGTTTGCAGCTTGCTCTAAAAGGTTCAGAAAAAAATATGATAATGGGTATGTATTTACACACGTAAGTAATATATGTATGGAGACAGAAAGAGAGAGCAAGAGAGAGAGAGAGCAGGTGATGGAACAAATGCAGTAAAAAAATTAACAATGGTAGAATCTGAGTGAAAGAGTACTTTGTACTGTTCTGGAATCTTTTCTGAAAGTTTGAAATTATTTCAAAACAATAAAATGTGAAATAAAGATGTAATATAGAATATCTAGTGCTAGAACAAACAATAATTATTATCGTCTGAGGCCATGACAGAGTGAAAACCCTATTTAATATGTTTATTTACGTACCTTCCTTTACAATGTTCTGAGGCAATACATTAATAAAGGAGGGCAATGTTTTTATGTCTATTTATAGAAGAGCATCTCAATGTTTTCTCTTCATGGACTTTAAACAGGCATTTTACAGTTCAGTGAGGAAAGGAATCTTAACTCATTCATCTTTGTGGTCTCAGCACCTAACACATTCTAATTTAATCATTGTTCTGTCTTTGAACAGTAATTCTACACACAACATTGTTCCATCAGAAAAACACAGTGACCTGATTATCAAGACTCCACTACAATGGGAGGGAGAAACTGCCTATGCCAAATTAAAATATGTATATCAGACTGAGCATAGAAAAATATCAAGGATTACCTTTCTTAGAAACTTACAGGAAGAATAATTATTTGCCCTACAGTCCTAAAACAGAAGAGTGTGTAACCAGTAACAAAAGGCCTTAGCCTAAAGAATGGCAACTGTTGAGTTTTTGGTAAAAAAAAATAAAAATAAAACAAAATAACAATTTTAGAATACATATGGGGCTTTTGGTGAAAAGAGTTGACAGTGGAAGACCATCCTTAAAAAATGAGAGGTTCTGAAAAATTATTAAAATGAAACATATGAAATTGCTAATAAAGCATTATCTTATTAATAGATGAGTATGATCATTTATAAATGTGAAAGAATATATTTTCATTACAGAAACAGAAACTCTCCAAGGCATTTAGATAAATGTCAAAATTAAACTAAAAAAAAAAAAATTACACTAAATAGACTTCGTATACCTCAATACTCTGTCCTTCCTAAAGAATACACACTTTTTTTTTTAATACATGTTATAGACCCTGGATCTCCTTGCTGAATCAGTAAAAAGGAGTTATGTATGCCTGAAGACTGGTTATGGTTAACCATAATAAACTTCAGACGTGACTTTTCAAAGGCTTAAACAACTGAAAATTACATTTTGATAACAATTCATCTGCTTTAGAAAACAAAAGTTACCAATATCTCATAAAAGTAGAATTCTTCAATTTAAAGCATTATTAGGGAACTTAAAAACTGTTATAACTATATTACAACTTCTTCCCCATAAGGAGAAACTGTAAGGTCAAATCTTTTCTAGCATATTATAAATAAAACAAAATTTAGCATTACTGTAAACCAGAATCTGTATGGCTTGGGGTTTTTTGGTACGGTTTTTAAATGGAGATAAATATACTTCTTAGAACTGTTCTAAGAACGAAATGAGATAATGTACATAAAGGACTTAGGATGGTGCTAGCAAGAATTAAGCACATAATAGTATTTATTGTGTTTTTTCTTTTTTTTAAAAATATACTTTTACTGATGTCAGAGAGGGAGAGGAAGAAAGATAAAAACATCAATGATAAGAGAGAATCATCCATCAGCTGCTTCGTGCACACTCCTTACTGGGCATGGAGCTCACAACCTGTGCCCTCACTGGGAATCTAACAGTGACCTCCTGGTTCATAGATCAATGCTCAACCATTGAGCCACACTAGTCAGGCAAATGTGTTTATTATTATAGCAAGGATGTGAAACAACTCTGAAATGCAGTCAAGTGACTTAAAAACCTATTAGAGAAATCTGTAAAGGCAGGTGGATAGACTCATAGTTAAATATCTAAATTTGGCAAATTCAGTGAGGAAAGTAATCTTAACTTATTTATCCTTTTAGGCCCAGAATCTAACACAGTGCCTGGCACACACAGTAGGTATTCAATAAAGTGAATATGAAGTTATCTGGAAAGGGGAAAAAAAGAGGTAGTCTGAGGTTGTCTGAAAAATAAACAGTCCAAAAATTACTATGCCCTAAGCAAGTCACTTTGAGAAAGAAAATAAAATACCTAAGCATTTTCAGAACCATGCATAAAAATTCACCTCAGACTGGTCTTTTTAATAATGACTGAGCCACTCTCAAATCTGTTTTGGCAAATGTGTCACATAAAAAGTCTAATATTAGAGTATTTTTAAATGTCATCTTAAAAAAAATGTTGTGCACATCCTGAAAAATGGAAAACGTACCCAAAGCATTGAGGAATCTTTTTAAAATTCCAGTCAAGGAGAATCAGATAAGTTTAATTCATAGCTCTTCCATCTATATATACATGAAAATTGGCTTAAACTTTTAACTACAACTAAGTTGTAAACACACATACTTCACTTTCACAAGTTCAAGTGCACACCCCAGAAAAGAAAGAAAATCAATTATTCCAAAAGTAGGCAGTACTAAAGAAGTATGAAAGAGTATCTAACAAAACTCTCCTATGTCTCAGCAGTCACCTGTTAGAGCCCACACTTAGGCACAGTCTACTCAAGGTTTTGGAAACCCTTGGTATTGAAGACTCAAAGTTCTCAGTGCAGTGGGCAAGGGAAAAAGTGTAATATGAAAATATAGTCCTATCTTCCGTACCTTGCATCCAAGAATAATAGGGCTCAGTAGGCTTTTTTTTTTTTTAAAGACCTTTCCAAGTTACTGTCCACCTCACTACAGCACCACTCTTTTATTTTTCAACGTGGGTAGCGCCCTGACCTGATGCCTGCGACCCCTGGGTGCACTGGACCACGCTTCAACCAACGGAGCCACTCGGACCAGGGCAGCACCACACTCTTCTATTTGGAAACTGATGGACTTTATGAAGGGCACACTTCATAATACACTCAACTTCATACAGCGCTCGGTTCCTGAGCCGGGTCAGTAAAGTACATTTCCAGAGAGACAGCTGGAGCTGCATCTCCTGAGCCTACTTCAAACTAAAATCTGTGAAGTCTCAAGTTACAAATCAAGTAACAGTCCCAAATCAACTGCTTGAAGGTTTTGAAAAGAAACAAAAAAAACCATCATTAGACACATCTACCTTTAACAAAATGACAATGTTTTCAGAAACAAACAAGAAACAATGCTAACAGGCAATGTTGCAGAAGTTTACAAAATAACAAAAAATCTGCAACACAAAGTAAAATTATTCTTAAGTTATCATTTGCTTCCAATGGTGCCTTGAAAAGTATCAAATGCATGAAGGCATGTAAGAGCTATTGTCCAGTCACTGACAGCATTAAAAATATTTTTAAATCTAATTTCTGCAGTGGCAATTTAAAAAGCCAATCAAATCTTAATGAGAAAAAAATGCCTAGTCCAAAATCTGGAAATACAGGTAATTTTTTTTTTTAAACTAAGAAGCAGGGAGGTCATAGCACCAAGGTGTGTAACATCTGTAGGTGGTTGATCCAAACGAGTAAAAATTTTAAAAAGGGCCTCTCTGGAATTAAAGATATAAAAGAATATCTTACCAAATATAATCTGATACAAATCCTTAAAAATCACTTCAGTGGGATTTTTGTTTTTTACCACTAAGGAAACAAAACCTTCCAATCGATTTTCACATCATTCACACACTTTGTAAATTAAGAACTCAATTCCAAAACACATTTGAAACATCAGACTTTCGTTTTCACATCCATTTATCAGATTTACTCTTAAAGCCCTTGTGGACGGGGTCTTGATTTCAATACAAGGTTGTTCAATATCCCGTTCCGCGGGAACGGAGCTTGCGAGACTAATTCTCCAAACCTCCTCGGGAGATGGTTCATTACGGCTCTCGTTCCAATTTCCCGAGCCTCAAAGCAGCCACGGAGAGCACACGGCTTAGAGGAAGGGAGAGGAAGGAGGGTGCAGGAGAGAGGCCCATTCTTTTGTTTTGGTGGCAAAAGCTCCAAAAATGAAAGTCACACGAGCCATCTGCACCGATCCCCACCCATCGCAGCCCTCCCTGCACGCACTTCCATCCCGCCGCCCAAGACTCCGGCCCGCGAAGACCCGCAGCCTTTCCACGTCTCAAAGGATGGGCGGGGGAGGCCGTGGAGACTGGGGTGCAGGAAGGAAAAGAGGGGGGACACCGATCCTTCGAGGACAGGGACCAGGAGAGGCATCCACAACGGGGAGGATGGGACGCGCCGCGGAGGCTGGCACATTCACCGGGAGAAAAGCCCCGGGGGGCTGACCGAGGAGCGGCGGCGGGCGGGCAGCCCTCCGCGAGAGCAGGCAGGCAGGCACGTTCGTTGGAAGCCGGGGAGGGCGTGAACCAGGCAGCGCGGAACCAGGAGCCCCCAGTGGGTTGCGTGAGCCTCAAACAGACCC